CGGAACTGGAGAGGATCTGCAAGGAAGAATGGCAGAGGATCCCCAAATCCAGGTGTGAACAACTTGTTGCATCATTCCCAAGAAGACTCATGGCTGTACTAGCTCAAAAGGGTGCTTCTACTCAATACTGAGCAAAAGGTCTGAATACTTATGACCATGTGATATTTCAGTTTTTCTTTTTTAATAAATTTGCAAAAATTTCTACATTTCTGTTTATTTCTGTCAAGATGGGGTGCTGAGTGTACATTAATGAGAAATAAAATGAACTTTTTTGATTTTAGCAAATGGCTGCAATGAAGCAAAGAGTTAAAAATTTAAAGGGGTCTGAATACTTTCCGTACCCACTGTATATATGTATATTACATTTTCCCATTTGTTTACATCTGGGGGATAATATTGGTTGGCCATGCTGATATTCCTCATGTTAGTTTAAGTTTTCATCTGACAACTGAGAGGTGTTAAACTACCTTTTTTATTAAATTCAACCATAAACCATAAGCAGGCTTGTGTTGTCCAACCTAACTATATTATAGAATATTATTTTAATTTCGGAGAAAACTGTAATCCAGCATTTTTTCCCAGGAGTTTGGCCACAAACACCCAGTTTGTATTACTGCAAATATATAAATATTGCAATACTTTCATCAGTGGGCCATAAGCTCAACCAGCAATAGACAGTGACTTTAACAGGCATTTATTTAAATGACCTTGAAGATGCCCACTTAAGGTTGTGGGCAAATAACCTCATTGGTTCACAGGCACTTCTTTTTATTTTTACTATTATTATTGTTTCATGTATAAATATTATGCCCAACCCAAACATGCTTACAAGATATTTAGGAAAAGAGAACAGACACCAGAATAGAAACAAAAAGAACAAATGATACTGAAGAACTAAACCATGCTGACGGTAACAAAGGAAGCCAACTTATGATCATAAAGATTCATTAACCTTTACATTCTGTCATCATGGTGCACCAAAACATTTCTGGATGTAGACATTTAATTTAATTATTATTTCATCATAAAAAGGACAAAACAGAAGAAAATGTGATTCGTTCTCAACTTCTTCTTATTCACATACTTTACACAGCTGTTGTCCTCCTGGAGCTTTTTAAATCTTAAGTTACCTATAACCTTTGCATAAATGTAGATTGTCTTCAGACGGTAACTTTGTGTCTATGTGTCTCAAAGTACCAATCACTTCCATCTCTTTATCTGGCAGGTTGGCTGCGTCTGCAGCCAGGAGAGGAGAGGGGAAGATGCCTTCTCCATCTTTTACCCTCGATGCTCAGCTGAGATTTCATGACAAATGGCTGAAGATAGACCTCCAGGTGTGTGTTCGTAAAGGAATATCGTATGAAAAAACCCGCTTTCTCAGATGAGAAGTGAAGAAGTGAAACATCTGCAGAGTTTTTCATCTGTTTCAAACATCTGTATTGTTCAGTTTCTTGAAGAAGCTGCTTTGTTTCTGAAAATGTTTTCAGTCTGATTGTGTTGCATCATGTTGGGAACATAGAGTACATTATATGTTACTCTATATATCATGAACATCCACAATCCTGTGTCTTTAACTAAGCCGACACAGCGGATCACTGCAGACTGATTCTCAGATGATTATTGTTTTTCCTGTGATGTGTAAAGAGGTGGAGCCCATAACATTACAGTCAGTTAAAAAGGATCCATGTTGTGAAAACAAACCCATGTTGGTTGTAATTATGAGGACTTTTGTTAATATGTGATGGATTTAGAGATCAGGATACAACACTGTGGATCCACCGCCTCATCCTCTGGACTGAGAATTGGTCTGTGCTCCCAAATGAGGACTGAAACTGAGAGAGAGTCATGTTTTCCCATCGGTGGAGCTCTCTCCAGTGTTTCGTGTCCAGTCTGGTGACATCTGTGAGCCAACATGTTTTTGACATTTTAAGACATTGGATCCTTGAAAAGCCAGAGTTGTCTTTCCACTTGTGAGAGTTTCTGAGTAAAGCAAAGCGTGAATGGTGCACCAGCTGTGATGATGACGACACAGCCGATGTGTCCTCGACTCAGTTAGAGACTCGGTGATAAGAAAGCAGCTGTTTTGTTCTCTCGTTTATATCTAATATCAGTTTGTTGGTGTTGGATTTCTTCCCTGGGTTATGAAGACTGAACAACAGATTCACCTCCACCAGTGAAAGCGAGAGGAAGAATTAGTTGAAGTTGAATATCTCAGAACTTTTCATAAAAGCGCTGATTACTTTACTGTAGTAAATGGAGGAGCAGCTTGTTCTGTCCGTCTGTCTGTCCTGAGCTTTATGTCGGACAGACTTTATCATAGCAAAGAGCAAAAAGCCCATTTTGTGGGAGCAGATGGGTCGAGCGGACACTGAATGTTTCTGAGTGTTGTGCTTTTATCGGCCTCGTCTCAGACGGGTCGTCCTTCTTGCTGTTTGGTTGTCAGATTGAGCGTTGACGAGCTCATCCATAGAAAGTTTGAGGAGAAAGCGTCCTCTGGTTGGTGCTCATGGTGAAAAAACAAATAGATGATAGAGAGCCAAGGCGCGATGATGAACACGGGGACATAAGACATGTGGATATTCTGAAATAGGATGGTGAGTAGTGAACATTTATAGGTGACAACACTAAATCAAGCTGAGCTCACTGGTATTATAATATGTGATTAGGCTGTCTGTGTCTACTGAGGAAAAACACTACAAAGCACACACATGAAGGTGTGAATACACACTGATCAAAGTAAAGTAGATGTTAGGAATGTGCAGTGCTGATTCTTCTGCTTGTCGTTTGCTTCGTCAGCGAGCCTTCTCTCCAGAGGGACTGTGTGAGATGTGGAACGAGATGGTGAAAGATGAGGAGATAACGTTCAACGGAGAAGAATCCGCTCACCCAGGTACAGATTCCACTTACGCCGTCTGTGACACACCTGTCTTAAGGTTGTCACTTTATTTGAACCTTTGCTGCTGGAGCTGAACGTTTAATGTCCGACTGTCTCTCCATGGTTTCAGAGGATTGCACTGACTGCTTTGGAACTACTCAGAAGAAAGATGAGCCCAACGACAAAGAGAAGAAAGAGGAGGAGGAGACGTCCACGTCTGTTCATCACTCCATCATTGAGACCTGGGACTGGGGCCGGCAGCCAGGTGAGAGAGAGCGACCTGAACGAGGCTGAGAGGAGAGTGCTGCTGCTGCTGCCGGGATTAGAGACGGTATCGTTAGGATCTTATCCAAACTAGAAGTCCTATCGATTCTGCTCTTTATCGGTTCTTTTTGATTATATTGTGAGGTAAAAAAGACAGAGAGATGACGTTTGCGACGAGGACATCTCACTGCAGAACTAAGAAAGTACCGATAGCAGAACGGAGAACTCTGGACCACATCTATACTAACGGGTTATTACTGATATAGAACCGGTTCCTGTTTAGAACCAGGTTTTGTGTGTGGGGGGGGGGGTCCCTAACGATGCTGCACTGCTCTCCTGTTTGTGACTCCTGGTATTTTACGCTTCTCTGTTTCCAAGTAGAGTAATTAATACCATGCTGACCGCAGACGGTTTCACAACACTTAGATGTGGACCAGATACGAGCATACTGACCATTTCAACACATGGTCACCCTCTCTGTTTATCAGTCTCACTGCTGACACGTGAGATGTGGAAACTCGGGCATGACAAGTTGCCGTCTACAGGTCTGAAGTGGTTATTTTTATCTCTTGGTCGGCGTTATAATGTGGCCCAGAGGAGGGGAGCTAGTGCCTCTCGCCAGGCTGTGTTTACTGGCTGGACTGGGTGGGACAGTGTCATGGTGGTAGGAGATAAGCGCTGGGTGGTGGGGGAGGAGGGGAGGGTCTCATGGATAGTGAAGGCTTCTTCTTATTGACTGAACCAGGACATCACACTCTGATTCTACATTGAGTGTAACTGGATCTCTACATGGACGATACTCCGTCACTGATCCTTAAAGAGACAGTCCTGATGTTCTGTAGTGTGTGTGTGTGTGTGAGGTTCTCCTCCACAGTCAGGGTTCTACTACAGTAGATGAGTTGATAGAAACAGACAGGAGAACCAGCACGGGAGCAAAGTGATGTTCTGCTGTGGACGTATGTTAGACTCCTAACAGAATGTCTCTCAGTTGAAGTGAAGCTATATTCAGAATGTCTTCAGCTCTTTACCTTGCTGTCAGACAGACCTTTCTGAGGGGAACTCAAGCTGTTATCTATGATCTCTACAAACACACCAGACTCCATTCACTCAAACACTGATTCTACCTCTCAGGACACAGGAGCTGCTGCTCTCCTGCTGCCTCCATCTGTTGCTGAGGTTGTGTTGTTGAGACTTCAGTGAATCTGAACTAACTCTTTAAAAGTACCTCCTACAACCACACTTCAGAAAATCCAAACTATCCCTTTAAAGTCCAGTCAGCTTACTTCCTGCTTTCCATTGAGTGGTCCGATATGTAGAACATGTTGATCTCAGCAGTTTGAGCCCAAACTATTGTTTTTAAATCAGAATTCTACAGTAACACATGAGCTCTGATGTATTTGACCTCTTTTCTTTCTCTGATATATATTCTGATAAAGAGTTGATCAGGAGTTGGTTCTCTTGCACTAAGTAATGATGTATAACAAACCGCTGCCCGTAGTGTTGCTCATGCGACCGCCGGCCGGTCTGACTTACATGAAGCTTAAGTGGAATTCTGATCTGCTATTTTGGCTCATGTCATCGTTCCTGCAGCGCTGCTGTGCACGCACGCACGCACGCACAAAATAAAGCAGTTTCTCTTGAACCAGATCAGAAACAAAGGACTGGCTGTGATGAAGTGTCATGGGACCTTTTTACTTTTAAACACCATGCTGTTTGTGTGATGAAGAGCGGGGGCGTTTCATCACTTATTGTAGTTTAATAACTTCAGATATTCTTTATTTCTTTTAAACACAAACTTCCAGATCCTTCTCTACATATGTCTTATAAATCATGTCAACTTTTAAATATGGGAATTTGAAGACGGCTTCAATAGTTTAAATGTAGCAATATGTTTACAGAGTTTAAGGTTCATCTGCTTCATGTTATTGGTGAGTTGTTACATTTCTCGATAAGTTAGAATGTGGCTTTAATGGGTAGTTAAATGTTCTTAAAGCTTTAGATGAGTCAAAGTCACATTGCTCTTTATATTGACAGATTTAATGTGAGATTATATTCTTACATTATATTTCAAGTATTTCTGCCAAAAATTTGTTTTGAATCGCAGAAGAAAAATATTATAAATCTAGGCAAATTGTTACTCTGAGTATTGTTATGAATGTGTTAATAGATTAACATTCATTCAAAGCTTCTATTGAGGTTTATGAATGAAGCTTTTAATGTCGTCATATTTAATGAGGTCATCACCCTAAAATAACAACCTTCTAAAATAATCCTCCTCTTGAGCGAAGTGGTTCATGGGATTAAATGAGTTGGTGTTTATTCATTAAATCAGCCGTAACTCGTCTGTGCAGGAAACAGTTCTTTCACTGCAGTGACACCAGAACACATGGAAGGAAGCAGAACCTTCAGTTGGATAAAAACATGTCGTGGATTTAAGAAATGATTACGTCTATCTTTTCAAATACATGTACACTGTAATCTAATTCTACAAATATAACTCTAATAATATCTTTGTAGCCAGCTCTAAATATCGTCTTTAAACACAATAAATAGATAAATAGATGCATAATAAAAGCTGTGCATTTGATTGTTGATTTAGAGTTTGAATGTCAACGTTATGAATGAAGCTTCCAACTATTTGATGCAGAAAAAATATATTTAAAACTCAGCTGTCTCGCCATAAAAAAGAAGACATGCAAAGGTTCGTTTATATGTATTAACAGTTTGAACACTCAACATCAAGAGTTTTCTGTGAGAAGTAATTGTGGGTGACAAATAAATTCCGTTATGTTTGTGATGATTCAGTTTCCTTTGCCCTGTTCTTGTGTGTGCGTGTGTGTGTGTGTGTGTGTGTGCGCGCGTGTGTGTGTGTGTGTGTGTGTGTGTGTGTGTGTAGATGAGACAGAGTTGAAGGACTGTCTGCTGGTGCTGGTAGACGACCAGCAGAAGCTCTCGGCTCAGATGGCTAAAAGCACGCTGTCGGCCCAACGGCTCCGCCAGCGCCTCGTCATCCTGGAGCGATACCTCATCTCTCTGAGCCACAGCATGATGGAGGAGAAGTACAAGGTCCGCTGGAAGGGCCCGCCCAGCCCTCCACTGCCTGCTGCCGACAACAAGAGGTGAGGAGGAGCTGGAGACGGAGGTTCTGGTAGAGCATCAGAGGGTTTAAAGGAGTGTGAGCAGGTGCTTAGACCACTGGTGATCCAGGTGTGCACCTGCTGAGAAACTTAATGTGCAGGTGTCTCCAAGGTTTATTGTAGTGAGGGATACTGTACATCTGGTTCATTGTAGTGAG